CAAAAATAACGTATACAATATACTGATTTAACGTATAAAATTTAACAAAAATTACATATACATTATACTGATTAGACATATAAATTCAGTATTTTTTTGCATACGGAAAAAAATGATTTTCAGTATCTAATATACAGAAATATTTATGAATTTATTATACTGCTTATCTACGTTTATTATACGTTTTTTAAACATATTATTTCTGTATACTTTTCTTATACATATTATTTATAAGATATATTAAAAATCATCAATATATATAGTATAATAAAAAATGCATCAATATTTAAAACTAAATAAATACCTGTCCATAACAAATGCCTTGATCAGATACGTATTTAAATAATTCTTCAGAATTTATAACAATAAAAATATTACTAAACTAAGGGTTTTGATGATAATTGCTATTTGCATACATTATTACACCATTTTCTAATGTTACTGATCTGTATATTATTATCTTTATTTGAGTGCTATCTATTTCAGATATTTTAATTAGATCCAAATATGAATCCATACATATTAAAAACTGATCAAACCAGTGTTCATTTTATCATCTATATTAGTTTCTACTTTTTTTTCCTCAAAAAATAAAAATGCATTCATTAATGAAAATTCAAAGAACTTTGATGAAAATTTAAATACACGAGAAGTTATTTTCAAATTTGTTAATTGATTTTTGAGGTTATTTTGGTGATTGATTAGCGTTGAATCTAATAAAATATAATCTCTTAGCAAAACCTATATAATATTATATATTTTATATATTAAATACTTACTATTTGCATTAATTAGGTTTTAATATTTTTTTATTACTTAATCAATAAAAGACCTTAATATATTCACAATAAAGGCTTTTATAAGTCTTTGTAGTATATCCATTAATTATGTCAAAATTTCGTATTGAATCAATCACATGATAAATCCATGAGTGCAATTTCAGAAATTTTAGCTCAGACAGAAAAAATTGTTGATAAATTTAGATGAAGTTCTATGACCATTCATATATAGATTTCTAAAGTGCAATAACTTTAATTAAATTACAATATAAAATAAAGAACTTGTCAAAGTTTTATACATACCTCGAATTTGTTCAAATTACTTTGCTTAAAAATTTTATATCTACTCATTTTATACATATTATTCCACTTTTCATAAAGTTTTACCAAATCTTTATTTGCAATAAAGTTTTTCACTTTTCTGGTATTTTCTTTATATAAATTATCAATTACAAAAATTATTACTTTCATTAGATTATGATATTCATTTGTCGTTAATCTTGCAATTGATTGTAATCCAGTTTTAAAATTTTTAAATTTGTAAATCTTGGTATTTTCGCTTAACTACAATCTATTTCATCTACTAAATGATTATTATATTGCAACTTTAAAAGTTCTCATATATAATTAACTTGATATTAAAATAAATCCAAATCAAGGTGATGTATTCTATTGGGTATCGTGGCAGAATAGATATTTATATTTCTATGATTTAATCATTATTTATTATTAGTATTAAACAAAAATTAAAAATAAATAATATAATAAAATTTTGTAAATTTACGGAAGATTTCAAAATATTTTCAATTGACATGGAATGGTTTGTGTAGAAGTTGGAACTGGTTTAGCATAAATCGATTTAAATTCATATTAAACCAGTTGCAACATAAAATTGAATCTAGCTTTTTCAGATTCAAAAACTGGTTTTAATAAAATCGGTTGATTATGAAAATTCGAATTTAATGAAACTGATTGAACTGGATAATCACATAAAACCTGTTTTATACATTAAAATCAAACTATGATATATGATATTTATGTAACATTTAATAATATGTATATAATATTAGATATTGATCTAATTTCGACAATGGCATTAAGGTTAAAATAAATTTTTTTATTTTATAAAAGAAATTAATTATGTGGATTATTCTATTTTCATGATTTTTTTTTTTGTTTTTATATTTACAAATATGTAGACCTAATCATTCAAATTTGTTTTTTTTGAAGTTTTGTAATTTTTATGAACTTGAATTTGATTAGATTATACATTTTTTTGTATAATTTCGACATCGTATATTTCTGTTATGTATAATATCCTCGTTACCAATATAATACAGTGATAAAAAAAAATTTTTTTTAGTTTTTATTCAAGAAAAATATTTTTTTTTTGACCAAAAAAAATGGAAAACTCACCTTTACCACCTTTTGAATCTATTTCTCCTATTGATATTGATTCTGATACTGAAAATATTATAAGTATTAGTAATTTAGCCTGAAAAAAATGTAAAAATAATACAGTGACTGATATAATTACCAAATCTTATAGCAATCATAACCATACATCCTATTTTTTTCATTCAGATTTAAATGATCCTTTTGTTGCTTATTGCAAGATATGTGAAATTATTTAGCTAATACACATAAAAAGGCATATCCATATAATCGAAAGGAGGAAATACAACAAATCTTATTAATCATTTACGTGATAAACAAAAGAAAATTACATGAGATTTTTGGATGAGTTTAATAAGGTATTATTATTATAATTTTATTTTGAAATTTGGCATTTATTATTAATATATATTATGCTTAATTTTAAACTTTTTTATTAATAGCCATGATGTAATCAAAAACAAATCACAGAATATTTAAAGGCAGCAGCTTCATGTTTACAATAATGTCAAGAACTTATCACTCAAAAGCTTATTACTTTTATTATTAAGCTTATTCAACCATTATATATTTACAAAATTCTTATTTTCGCGAATTACTACTTACTTGTGAACCTGGATTTAGAATACCATGTGATAAGACTGTAAAAGCAATAATTTATGAATCTTTTATATAGAGTAAAGATCAACTTAAATTGCTTTTAAGTAATAACATTAATTTTATTCATTTAATTACAGACTTATAGACTGCAAAGTCTCATCAAGAATATCTTGGTATAACAATTACATGGTTAACATCTAATTTTGAATTTTGAGAAGCTCTTTTATTATACAACCATCTTTTATACCCACATACTGGAGAAGTTATTAGTGCAGAAATAATAGAAGTTTTAAATGATTGGCATTTAATTGACAAGGTATTTACTATTGCAACAGACAATAGGGTTAATATGATTAAAGCTATTCGATTATTGAGAGAACAATATATACAGTCGTTCTCTTTTATAGTCACACCCTTTGGAACCAAAAATAAAAAGTATGATGATAATAAAAAGTTACTATACAGGGGGATTTTTATTTGTAGTTACTAGCATTAGTTATGGAAGGATATGACTATAAAAACACTGTGATTATAATAAGGTTTTTTATATTACATTAATAGGTATTGGTTCTTATGAAATGTGTGCTTATAATGAGGGATTTATATGATGTGATTGTACAGTAGGTGACTATAGAGGAGGATGACTGTATTACAAATAGAACGTCAATCTTGTGCCGCTCATATATTACAACTTTCAGTTTAGAAGGATTAAAGTAATGTAAGTTAGTATATCGTCGGGTAAAATGTTTACAAGCATTTTTCATTTACTAAAACAAGCTCAATGACTTCACAAAGCTCAAAAGGTTATGAGACAATTATTAGATGATTATGATAAAAATCCATTTAATGTTTTAACTGATATTAAAACTAGATCAAATTCAACATATTATGCTTGGAAAAGAATATTAGAATTACATAATTCTATGAGATATGTTTTTACTTCTTTATTAGTAAAATCAGATCAATTATCATAACAAGAAGGAAAGAAATTAGAAAGATTATGTTTATCAATTGATGAAAAACAGTAAGTATAAATATATATTAAATTTTTTAAATAATTTATTTATTAAGATTTTTGGAAGATATGATAAAACTTTATTACCATTTAAAAGAATAACATGTAGAATATGTGAGACTAAGTATATTACTTTAAGCCTTATTCATTCCTATATAAAATTATTGAAAAAGACATTTACGCCTAAATCTGAAGAAAGTTATAATACATATCTTAACCTTATCTATGGATCAATTAATAATAATGAAGATGAATCTGATAGTTCAATAGCAAGTGATGATAATAAAATTCCTTCTGGTGGCTCTCATTAATACTGGCAATATGCTCATCATCAATTTTATAAAAAGATGCAAAAACTAAAGAAAAAAGAAGTGAATATAATAGACAAACTCAAGAAATTCCTAAAACTTTAACAAATAATATAAATATTGATGATATTAATCAAGTTGAATATTTACCAGCTGTTAATGTTAATGATCTTCTTCAAAAAGTTCGAGCAGCTATTTTTTTATCATTAGATAAATTGTGATCTATTCTAATAGAATTAGTTTTAATTGCAACTATACTTGATTCACAATTCAAAAATTTTTTATTGGGATGATAGTGGTGAAGAAAAAATCAAGTCTCATGAATTGTTACAATAATAATATGATTCAAAAAAAGCTCTTGAACCTTAACATTTTAATATTCAACAGGCAACTAGTAGTAAATATAATGAAGATGAAGATGATTTTTTTAAAATTTTAGAAAATAAAAAAAATTCATTTGTAGTTGAGGATGAAAATAAAGTTTCACATTATATAAAACTTCAGCAAATTGATATTACGGAGGATTCTTTAAAATGGTAGAATGTAAACAAATGTAACTTTTGTATTTTGTCTCAACTTGCTAAAAAATATTTATCAATTCCTGCAACTTCTGTATCTAGCGAAAGATTATTTTCTGATGCAGGCAATTATATTTTAGCAAAGAGTACACAATTATCTTCAGATTTGGTTAATCAAGTTTTATTTTTAAAAAGAAATAGTATATATTTTAATATTTTTCCACCTCAAGAGATCTAATCTTTTTTAGTTAACATTTTGTTATATAATGAGTTTTAATATTTTTCTTTAATAAAAAATAAATTCAAAAATCATTAAGATCGCAATTCAGATTTTCAGTTTTATTACAATTAAATGCCCGGTTGAACCAGTTTTATATAAATTCGATTTAAATTCAGGTCTCAAATTAAAAAGTGTTTAAAACCGATTTGTTAAAATAAAACCAGTTCCAAACTCTATGCTTGATCATATTTTCATGGATACATAGTTCAGTATCATTATCTTGTAAATAGATTTTATTAAAATTATCTTTTAAGACTAAACAAAAATGACATGAATGACTTGAATTATATGCTTTATACATGAGACAAAATATCAAAGCTTCAGGCCAATCAAAAATTACAACTGAAACTCAAGGAAAAAACCAAAATGTTTTATTCAATATTGTCAAATCAATATTATTATTAGATTTTAGGAGGGGATATAAAAGTACTTTTAGGAAATTATGGAAAGCTTCTCATATTGTTCTCTTAAATTTGATAGATTTTTTATTAGAATTATCACTTGCTAATAAAATTAGTAAATATCCTAATAATTGTTTTGCATCAGGATTATTACGCTACAAATTTTTAATGTTGCTAATAGTTACATATATAGGATTTAGTTGACTTTTTCCTAATGTATCAATGTTAGTTGCATCAGAATATAATATTAAGAATAAAAGTTTTATGCTAATTAGTAAACATTCTTTGGTATTTTTTCACCATATGCCAATATTTTATTCATTATATATTCTTTCTCTGTCAATCTTTAATTTATTTAAACATGATTATTGATATTAATGTGATTAAACGTAAATATAAAATTACAAAAATTTAAATAATTATCTCAAGATTTTTAAAATTTAACGCAAAATTTTACATTATATCAGGAATTATCAAAATATTATTTATGCAATTTATAAGATTTAAATGATAAAGATAATATTCTATATTATTATAGGTTATTATGCAAGTTTTTTGGTAATCTAAATTTGAATGATTCATATTATCCATAAATTGTCATTCTTGTTCGATTGATTTAGGTAGTAAAGATGTAACAAAATTTGCATATTTATTAAAAAATGGATTATTTCATTTCCTGTATTATTACTTAATTTATTTTTAATTACTAATGTCATAAAATCTTCATATGCTTCATTAGGATAATTTACATTCACATCAGACCCAGGTTCTAAAATATCTTGATTTATTATTGAATCTTCAGATATAATATTTTCAAAATTACTGCTATGATCGTCACCTAAAAGTAATTCTTCAACAGGCGGAAGGAGATCTTCATATAAATTTTCATTATTCATCTAAAATAAATTATATATATGTTTATATTTAAAAATATTTAAAAAAAAATGTTATCACAATTCTTTATTAAAAACGTACTTCAATAGAATTAAAATCTCTTCACTTTCTAGTGAAACATCATTAATATACATAATTAGAGCTCTGAACAGGTCAGGTTGGATCAGGTAATTGACTTGACCTGACCTGATAAGGTCAGGTCAGATCAAATATAAAATTGACCTGAATTAAATATATATTTGATCCGATCCAACCTGATCTGACCTATCTAAAAAAGGAAACTAAACAATTATTAATTTTGTTTAAAAAAATATAAAAAATATTGATACATTTTTACATTTGATTATTTTTCAAAAAAAAAGATACTAATATAATTAT